TTCTTTCTAGTCAACTGAATTTACTGACGAAGGAAAAAGGCTGTTTGTGACTGTATTTGGGTAGAGCAAGTAGATTACTAAATTGCTAATAAAATGAGCTTTATTGGGTTTAGTTAAAGAAGGAGAATTTTGGCAGTCCATGTCTTGTAATAAGTTATCTATATTTTTTTTATAAACAACAAAAAAAAAGTTATCTATATTTATATATTCTTATTAGATTTTTAAAGTGATGACAGTCAGAGGACAATAAAAAAAGAAATGACAGAGGAATCAAAATCATGAAACTCAGGAAAGGCAGTGCCTTGAAACCAGAGAGAGAGAGAGAGGTATGTATTTGTTTTTCTGTAAAAGCAACCTCAAATGTAATTATCTTTCTGCCATATTTTAAAAATATTTTTTCTTGATTGAGAAAAAAATAAAGGAAAGGATAATAAAGCAACGACTATGAGGTTTCTTGAAGTTGGGAATTTCCCCCTCAAAAGTGCTAAAATGTCAGCGTTCTTATTAAACAAGGTTTATGATATAAATAATTAAATGCTCTATGCGCATGGTAAAACTCTTTTTTATAGCAAAACAAGAACATCTTTTTACCAACTTTTTTTGGATATATATTTTGGAAATTACGTATTAAAATTTTTGGATACACTTACATAATTCATTTCCTAAGTAATTTATGACGGTGTCGTCGTAAATTTATCGCCTACAACTTCATATCATACTAGTTTAAAAAAAAAGAAAAACTTCATATCATACTATTGAGTATTGAGTAAACTCAAAGAGAGAATAAACAGTTTCTACCCTCAAAATTTTATTTTATTTTATTTTGGTGAAAAGAAATATTCTTCCCACTTCATGGGTAGAGAGGATTGTCATGGGCCACAAGAAAATGGTCAATATAATGGGCTTAGTCCAAAAATTATATAGTTTCAGTAAAATTACTCTGAAGATACAAAAATTTCAATAAGGCAACCTAATTTATAATGGCCCAAATGCTTTTGGGGCAAGAATATGTAAATCTGTTGGCATGTACATATAGACACACATCCCTTAAATCTGTTAGCTTATTAATCTCGCTTTCCAAGGCACAAAATCTGCAATTAAAATCAGCAAGAGAATGAAAGATTACCATCCTTGATTTTGTACTTTTTAATCAACATCTTTGATATTTCCTAAAAAAAATCAGCAAGAGAATGAAAAATCATCAATTATTTTTTAATTTTTACATTCAAACTAATTAGGAATGTGTATTTTGTAGTATATTTCCATATGTTTTACTTTTTTCTTTCAGATTAATAAATTTTAGTTAAACTATTTTTCAACAATATGAGTTATAGTCAGTATTTTTTTTTTTAATTTATATTTACTGACTACAAAATTTGAAATGCAATAAAGTTATTGTTATTATAATATTAACAAAATAATTTGAAACACTCTAGTTTACTTTTTACTTGTGCTCTCTCTCTCAATTTTCTTTTTTAAAAAGTTTTAATTAATTAATGAAAGGAATATAAAAACAGATTGTGTCGTAAATGAAGGAAGAATCGAATCCAGATTAAGATGCCTCGTGTTTATCGGTGAGAATTTTTCGGTTCAACTGTTAAAATACGGTTTTGAAATATTTCCGGTTTAAGCTGTAAATTCTCTGACTCTGTGCCCAATGAGATGAACAAGAGTAGTAAA